TACGTAAATGTACAGTCTAAATGTTATCTTCTATATGGGTGTGACTTCCCACCAGCCAGTAAGTGAGCTTGTGGGTCACTCAAGTGTGTGCTTCACAGAGACCATGAAGAAGAAGGACAAGTTACTTGTAACTGTGGTTCTTTGAGTGGTCATCCGAGAATTCACACAACCCACTGTCATGCTAATTAGATTTTTTTTTTCCTGGTGGCGGATAGAGGAAACTGAGGGAGCGACCCTTTGGTGGAGCAGGATATGGAAGAAGGGAGAGGCAACGCTCTCAAATGTTCCCAGTAGGGTTTTGCACAGACATAGGAATACCTGTGTGTGTGTGTGTGAATTCACAGATGATCACTCAAGGAACTGCAGTGACAGGGAAGTAAATTGCCATTGCTACTACAGTCATAAATCAGGACTTTTAGAAACACCATACGAGTTAATTACAAATATTTGTTAGTCAGCCTAAGTTCTTGAGAAAAGAGCTGTAAGCCCATTGTAATGTTTCCAGTATGTGAGATCATCCTTTTCCTTTCCTGTTCTGTCCTCACCCACACCTACCCCTTTGCCACCAGTCCCCTGTCAAGTTTTCTAGCACATTTAAGAGAATGAAGCATGTTTTGATAGTGATTTGCATACCAACTATCTTTTATACATACCCTAAATGCTTTAGATTTCACAGAGGTGCCCATAGTTTCCGAAGCTTGCTTGGTACAGATCAGCACAACCTGAAAAATGAGAAAACGTTGTGTTTGTACTCATTCAGTCACTCACATAGAGCCTGAATATTTGAGATACTTGTTTGATTGCCTATACCAAATTTGGAAATAACCCAGCCAGTAATGTGGAAGAAAGAATCAAGAACATTCTTACCATACTGTTGTGGAACCAAATATTGACATTTTTTACAAGTAGCACAAGGAATAGGAAATCCGTAACACACACTGGTTGATTGTGGTGAGGTAGCCAGTTAAAATATTTCAGCTAGCTTTTGCTCGCAATACGTTAGTTATCTATTAACTGTGTCATGCTGGCTGGATAGCCCAGTGGCTTGGGGATCTGGTAGGGGAGCCAGAGGTTGGGAGTTTGATTCTCCACAGTGCCTCCAGGGAAAAGAGCCAGCCTGTGTGACCTTGGGCAAGCTGCACAGTCCCAAGGTACCCACCAGAAGAAAGGAATGGTAATGCTCTACCTAGAAAACCCTGGAAAAGCTTGCATTCATTATGATGGTGTTGGCACATAATTATTATTAATAAAGGTATCAGCCATTTTTGTCTTCAGATTGCGTACAAGAACCAAAATTTTTTCTTTTTTGTCAAAATACTTCCCATCTGATGATGCATAATGCATACCTTCTTCCTGGTTTTTCCGTTCTCTGATCCCTCTTGCCTGCTCAGCCTGTGTCTCCTCCTAATTCCCAGCAGTTTAATGACCTCTGAAGTTAGTATCATGATGGAGCTACAGAAGATTTGGCAAGAGCTAATGTCATGTAGAGATAAGAGTATTGGATTAGGACTCAGGAGACAGGAGTTGCAAATCCCTGTTTGCCTGTAGAAACTCATGAGTGTGTGTGGCAAAAGTCCTTGAGCATCTCATGTACTTCCAAAACCTAATGAGGGTTGCTGTAAGTTGGAAGTGATTTGATGGCACATAATACTGATGTACATGTAACTGAGGAGGAAACTCAGTAGATTGAGTTTACACCCAGTCTCCGTAGAGTGAGACTTTTAGGTGATCTTGTAAAAGGGTACTGCTGCTCATACAAATGAATCTTGTGTTTGTAACCAAGAAGTTGGGAAATGTTAACATTCTCAAGCATATATCCAAATCTAGTAATGACAGCAGACTATATTTCAGCTGAGTGTACCAACCATGGATCTAGAAACAGTCATGCAGATGAAGGCAGCAAGGGGCAGTCTTTATTAAAGAGTAATGTTTTTCCTTTAGTAATAAAGGAGTTTATTCAACTATGTGGGTGCTACCCATTAGACCTCCTTCTCATAGGGGAGCAAATAAGCTTGTCTAAATGTCATGATGACTCCAGCAAAGACTCATTAGAAGGGATTCCGGTGTCTCTTACTATCTGCTAAAGAAGTAACTGGTAAAGCCCATTAAAGTAACTGGAAAACATCAAAGAAAGCCTATGGTACTAAATAACGATTACAGTTTAAGGTCTTTTGTCTTTGGTAGTGCAACTTGTCCCCTGACATACATACACGTGCTTTTGGTTAATACAACTAACCATGTTACAACACAGTACAGAATATATAGCAAACAGGTATTCTTACAGGTTTCAAAAGACAGCAGGAAATCTTGTTTTTCAAAGCCTCTTGTTTGGAAGAGTCTGTGGCAGCCATCTCTTGCACAGAAGAGTTTGGTACAGTTGGTGGAGGGTTTTTCCCCCTTTAATGCAGAAGGTGGCTGTTGCTGTTGTTGGTTGATGCTGCTATTATGCGCCATCAAGTTGGAAATAGCTTTCAAGGACAGTGAGATATTTAAGGAGTGGCTTTACCAGTTCCACTCCCCCAGTCAGTCTCCATGGGTGAGGTGAGGATTCGAGTCCAGACTTCCTGAGTCCTAATTCATCACAGAAGGTGGCCACCATGTTGAAGTCCCTGATCTTCATTGAGATGGAAAACACTCTAGGGAGTAGAAGCTTGAGCAAAACTGGCTCGTCTGCTCTGTTAATATGTTGTTGGGAAATTCAGACAAACAAACAAACAAGGGCTGGTTTTACAACAAACTTTTTGCAGACGGGAGAACATGGCTATTCCAGAGTTTGTGAAATAACCAATTTCAGGCTGCCGAGTGCCAGCTCCTGATGCGGCATTCTTGGCTTTTGAAATGAAAAGCATGGGTCCTTTTGAACATCCCTCTGAATTCCCTTCAAGCTTGCCCAAGGACAGAACATTGCAGCAATTTAATTCATTACTCTACTTACAGGGTGGGTTTTTTTTGGGGGGGGGAGGAGAGTCTGTAATATCTATAATCTCAGTGGGTGTTCAGCTTGCTTAAATGGAAGGGTTCTTTTTCTTTCAAGCTTCCTGACATGCTTCCATAGCTTTCTGAAGTGTACAGGGATGGTTCTCAGGAGAAATGGCCTACCCGGATGGAACACCCGTCCCCAAACCAGCTGGAGGAGCCCTCCAAAGGCAGCTGGGGTTAGCATTACTCTTGTGCAAGGGTGGGAAGAGGTGACTGTCTTTAGACAAAACGCAAAAACACAAAGCGAAGAATCCTGTTGGCATCACATAGTACAAAACAGCAACGGTGCTGGTGGTGTGCATAGTCTTGCAGGCTCTCTGTTGCACACTTGAATATGCCAGGGTTGTGCGGCTGGTGGAACACGTGGATGCTTGCAGGTAGCCAATAAAATATGAAAGCCGCTCGCATGATTGCACTTAGCATGCACAGTAAGATTCTGGCCAAAGAGTCAGAAGACATAATCAGTTTTATTCAGATATGTTTTTGTGGAGGAATCATACCACAGTCCACAAGAACTTCCGTCAAATAAAGCGTCTTGGTTTTCAAAGTGCCCCAAGACTCTTGTGGGGGTGGGAGTCACCCCAAACAATTCCGGGCAGACAGGACTGTTCTTCTGGTTGCTTTTGGACTTCCGCCTCTAGGATCTCTGGTTGCAGAATAGCAGTGTTATTGCTATTCTGCAACCAGACCGTGCTGGGGCATATATCAGAGCTTGGCTTTTAAGGAGGGCTCTTGCTGATTGGAGAGTTGGCTGGTTATTAAAGGCAGGGCCAGCTCTGTCGTGAGCTGCGTGGCTTGGACCGTGGGTCAGAACAAAGAGTGGACCTTCTTCTTGTCGGCTGCCTGTAGAGCCACCTGTTGCTCCTGACACAGCAGCTCCACAAAGCAGGTGCTGTTGTGGTGTCAGCCATCATCCACACCCCATTCTGGCTGAGTAGAGCGGCTGCATCACCCGGTGTTTGGCCCAAGGAGAAGCAAGGTTGGCTTCCCCTCTAGAGTGCTTCTTCCTCACTCTGTGTGGCATCAGAGTTGAGGTGGCCGAGCAGAGTGGTTGCACTGCCACCCTTTGCCACAGTGGCCACAGCCGTGGCTTGCAAATTGGCATAATTTAGAACAAATGATTGCCATTTTTAGATGCTTTTGAAAGTCCAGCCCATATCAAGTTAATCAGAAAAAAATGTCATCTGCTGTTCAACCCTAGCTGGGGTTGTTCATCTGTTGCCCAAGGCCCCTCTCTGTGTCACACTCTCCCTGAGCTTATGTGTGGCAGGTTGAGCAACCAACATACAGAAACTACTCTGAGGCACTGGCCCCTGTCCTCTCGGTGGTTTTTGGAGGGGGGAAAAAACTTTCTTTCAGCTGGCATGTTCATTTTACTTTGCTTATCTTTAAGCCTGGTTTTCCACTTGTTAGGATTATGACTGCACAGTTGTTCTTACGGTACGATCAAGAAACATTGCAAGCCACTTCAAGGACATTTGATGGAGAAATATCGGCCATAAATAGTAGACAAGAGGGAGCAATATAATCTCAGGTGTTGCCTGGCAGAGCTGCCTCATCACATGGGGCTAACTCAGCAGTGCCATAGACTCTTCTGCATATGCTCCAGGTCGGCCACTGTGTGGTATGAGCTTTTTGTGGCCATGACTCTGGCCTCAGATCATATGCTGTGAATTAGTGGTTGTCCAGTGGAGAGTCACTGTAGTTACTTCAGATGTAATGATCAGAAAGGTGCACCAGTGCACATCATGTAGCGCCATGCATCTGATTTGTCTGAACCAGATGTCCTCGTAAGAACATAACAGCCACAAAAATTCTAATTGTAGGAGTTGATTTTTTTTAATTGCAGTGTGCAAAAAGTTATCTGCTTATGATCTTCTTTAGCAGTCCGTGTCGCCATTGCACAGATGCAGCCCACCGTGCAACAGAATTTCAGAAACCGATCATCTTTGCTCAACCAGAGGCTCTGACAGTCAGACTTAGATCACGGCCTAACAGTCCCTGCTTCTGTCTTTGCCCAGGTCTGATGAAATCGAGATGATCATGACGGACCTCGAAAGAGCAAACCAGGTAGGATTCCAAAGTTCAAGCTGTTAGTCACAGGAGGCTCTCTTGAAGCCTTGTTGTTGTTGTTGTTTCCAGAGGATGGAGGGAGCCTCTGGGGTTCAGCCATAACATCGTGTTTCATCTGTGCAGATAAGCTTCATGACATCCTTTGGGTGTTGGGGCCAGGATCCAACCATTCCCACTGTTGAACTGTCTTCCTAAAACTGGGAGCAGGCCACAGTATTCTCCCTGCTTCGCTTGGAGCGGACGTTTTCGCCACTGGTTTTTGGAGCCTTGGTTTCAGACCTTAAGGATGCAGCCATATCACCTTTGCCTCCGTTGCAGTACACATCCCTGCTGACATGACATTCACAAAGCAAGACCGTTGGTTTACTTGGTCCTGCACTGCCCTTTTGATGGGCTTGTCTGTGTTAACTTGTCATCAAATTGCATCCGAATCAGCAGCCAACCTAATAGGGTTTTCAAAGTGGGATATGCAAGAAGTGGTCTTACCAGGGCCGCTTCCCAGTGAGTTTCTGTGGCTGAGCGGTCTTTTGAGCAGGCCACTCTTATTCGTGATATCAGGCTGGGTACCAGTCTTGATAGGTGTAGTCACAATTAAAACCAATGGTGAGAATTCAGATACCGGAAGGAATACATCAAATGAAATGACACATTGTCTTTGGAGTTTTTTAGTTCAGGCGCCATCACAAAATGGCTTTGATCTGTGTCCCTATCACCCCAACTTTCCTCCTTGAAGGTGTCGGGGGAGACAAGAATAGAAATCTCAGCAGGGACACTGCAAATTAGGCAGGGGAACTTTCAGACCAGGGGTTTCTTTGAGCTGCTGCATTTTAACAGGCCCTTTATGTGCTTAAATATGAAGGAGCCACTAACAGGACGTTGCTTTGCGAAGTGTAGGTATAGAAGATGGTGTGACCTTCTCAAAATGATGGAATTAGCATTTGGCTGATTGTGGATTTCGAGACGTGCCGGCCTGTGTATTTGGAAAGCAGTACAGGCAGCGGATTGATAGAAAGGGAAACAGTGTCGGCAGAGATGAGAAAGGGCATCCCAACAATCTTCGCTTTATTTTTTAAAGAACAGCTCCTGCCCTGAATTGTTTCCCTTAGAATGAAGGTGGGAAAGGGCTGTGGAGGTGCTTGTTGGAAACCAGAAGGCATGAGGGTGAAAGGCAAGCCCTCCTCCTCCACTTACTGATGGCCAGTAAGTGGGGTCCTGGAAAAGCCGTCTCTCCTGCTTTACCACAGGAGAAAACAAGGCCTCTTTTCTGATGTAGCTGTGCTGCAGTTGTGGGACAATCCACTAGCAGAAAAACTTTCTTCCCGTGCTACCAGGGAAGGCGTCCACCCTCATAAGGCTCTCTAGGACCCTTTTAGATGATGGGTGTCCTTTATTTAGTGCGCAGAGGTGCAGAGATCTAGCTGGATCCAAGGGATCCAGAGCTGCCAGGGTTGAAGCCCTAGAATCCTAAGCATACCAAAAAGCATCTGCATCCATCTTCCCCACATCAGACTTCTCTACCCCCCTCCAAGCTGAGAGGCTGTCTTCACTCTAGCTGGGAAAGAAGCAGATCCTTCTTTGTGGCCTCTGTGAATGGACACCATTGGGTGGTTCTGCGCCTGTGCTGAACCTCTTGGAAGTTTCTAGAGCTTAAAGACACGTGATTAGTGGGAAGTTCCCCCGTGGAGTGAATGCTCCGCCCATCACTGATCGAGGAGACTGCGAGATGGGAATGTAACGATTAGCGTGCTTTATTGATTCAGAACCTTGCCCCCTCTCATCCTTCTTCACTCCGGGTACATGTGCGTGTCCAAGAACGAGAAAGAAATAAAATTATGGAAGAAAAAGCCACATTTCCCCCCATCTTCTCCCTGAAGAACCCCCATTGTTCTTTCAGGCGCACGAGGGCCGAGGATCTCTTAATTCAGCGTTTACTCGTGAGAATTATTCCCACGAGGAATCTTGTGAACCAGCCGGCTTTGGCTGGGAGTACAGAAGGCAATTGAATCAAAGGATTCCATTTCCACTTGCATTCATCCAGCCTGGGAAATTCAGTGGGCCGCAGCATTTGTGTCAGCAGGGGATTCCTTGCTCCTAGCGTTAAATTACTGTCATAATCGCTCAATTATTTCTTTCTTGTACTGTTTAAAATAAAAATCCATCACATTCTGAGTTTCTCTCCTCTTCTCCCCCTCCCCCCCACCTCCATTTATTAGGTTGAGTGTTTAGGAAAATCAATTATACTCAGTCGGGCATGAATTGATGAATGTTCATGCAGTAATTGCCAGTTGTTAAACCAAACGTACGCTCTTCCTCTCACCCCCACCCCCACATGTTTCCCCTCCTCCAAAATTTTTTACTCTGCCCGTTTCATTTCTTTCAGAGGGCAGAGGTGGCTCAAAGAGAAGCCGAGTCGTTGAGGGAGCAGCTCTCGTCTGCTAACAAATCTCTGCAGCTGGCTACCCAGATCCAGAAAGCACCCGACGTGGTAAGTGGAGGCAAAGGGACCAAAGAGTGCCGACGGCTGGAATGCTGGCCTGCAGACCTGGTGTTCTGAGGTGCAGCCGGAATTGGGGTCCTCGGCATTTGCCCCTTCCTTGGCTCTGCCTTCGGGCACAGCTGCCTGTTGTGCTTTGCTTGGGGCAGGAGGTGGGGGAGGACAGGCAGGGAGAAGAGCGCAGGCATGAAAGCCCACCCTGACTCGTGCCAAGGAAGAGAACAAGGTGCGGGCAACTCACTGGTCATGGACTCTCCTTGTGCTTTGCCTTGCCGGTAGAAGGTGGGGGCAGAGGAGTCGGTGACCCCCTGCTTTATTGCCATGTCTTTCATCCATGCTTTTATGACCATGCACAACACATGCCAAGTGGCGTGCCAGCTCTTGCTGAGGCAGATCCTCACCTCCCTTAGCTGTGAACGTGGAATTGAAGCGTCGTCTGTGATGACGATTCTGCGGATAGGAGCGTGGGTTGAGGGTGAAAGGCTGGGCCAGCTCTGCCGAGAGCCGTGTGAGCTTGTGGGTCGTGGTGAACCTTCTTCTCATCTGATGTTTGTTTCTGGTGACAAGTTAGTTGGTGTTGTTTTACCATGGAAGCTTGTGGATCAATCGTGTGATGGGTCAGGAACCTGTATTGATGCACCGGCCTGTTGGAACCAAGGCCTCTTCAGGATCACTCCTTGATGCCCTGGGGGCATGAGATGAGAAGGGAGAGGCTGCGGGTGCCCCTGTGCTCACCACTTGTGTCCACAGTGTTGTACTAAAACAGAAAAAGCATTGTGGGTGTATGTGGAGAGAACTGAGCAGAGCGGGCCGTTTTTTTCTTGAGAAGGCCCAGCTGGAAGAAGATGGGATGAAAGATTGTCCAAACTGAGTACCTCTGATTTGAGCAAGGATGAATTAATAGCCGAGTACCATTCATTAGGCTGCTCTGAGCACCAGGCATGCCAGAAACCCCTCGGGGTGCTTTCAAGGGAACCCACTTCAGAGAATTGTGTCAGACTGCTCCAGGACAAGTTTTCTGTTGTTTAGGCTTCAAGGGCATCCCCATGTAAAGACCTCTACAGTAATCTAGCTTGCTAAGCTCAGAGATTTCCTAAGCACCCTTTTTATCAGGCATTGCCCCTCTGTCTTTCAAAAGCAATCAGGGGACATTTGAGGTGGGGGGCAGATCTTCCTTCAGGGTTGCCTGCCTCTACTGTTCGCCTTCTCATCTCCTGCTTCAGCCATAATATCTGCCTTGGCGCTGTAATCTTTCACCGGCCACGTTGCCAGTGCACGACATATCTCCTTTGTCTGTTTAGGAGCAGGCCATCGAGGTGTTGACGCGATCGAGTTTGGAAGTCGAACTGGCCGCCAAAGAGCGCGAGATTGCTCAGCTGGTTGAAGATGTCCAGAGACTCCAGGGCAGCCTCACCAAGCTCCGGGAAAACTCCACCAGCCAGATCTCTCAGCTGGAGCAGCAGCTGACCGCCAAGAACAGCACGCTCAAAGTAAGCAGCCTGGAAAAGTGAAGGAATGATTCCCAGGCATGTGCCATGTGCACCGGATCCTGGACCAGATAGCGAATGTATGTCCTTCTGGTGCAGTTTGTCAGAAAACTCAATTAGCTCCAGCTCTCTGTGTCTTCCAATACTAACGTGTGCTTCCCTGTACTGAGGAAGCATGTGAAAATTGACCTGTGTGTCTGGGATCAGGGCAGGGAGAACACGCAAGGGCCTGGGGGTGGCCGAATACTCTGCTCAAAGTAACGTGTTGCCGTCTGCTCTGCTTTTAAGCAACTGGAAGAAAAACTGAAGGTGCAAGCAGACTATGATGAGGTGAAGAAAGAACTAAAGTAAGTATTTCTACCGTTGTAATGAGAGTGCCCTCCCCCCTCTGTCTCTGTACAATCTGTTGCTTTTAATCTTAGGAACTCACCTTGCAGCAACCCCCACGAATCTTGCATCAAAAGCACAGGCTGTATTTGGATGACCTCACAAGTGGAATGGGGTCCCAGGGAATCCAGGTCAAGCAGTCATGAGCATTGCCCCCGAATCTCCACTCAGCTGCTTCTGCCGGGGGGGGGGGAGGAACTGAACACTCCAGAGTCTCTCTCTTTCTCTCTCTCCAGGGGCTGTTCAGCATAGTGACCAAATTAGTGATTCCCCCCCTTTTTTTCCTCTCGACTCTCCTAACGTGCCAGAACCAGACTTGGTTACCAAACCCCCCAGATCTGCTAGAACCTCAGCTTACCATTGTGTCTAAATGTGTCTAAATGTGGTTAGTGTGGGTTATGAGTATGTTCGTGATCTTATGAACCTCTAGCTGCCATCGCTGTGTTCCACTGCCATCCTTGACTCCAAGAAATTGGGAATTCTGAGTGCTCTGTGTTTTATCGCAGAGCTTCTCTCATTTTGTGGAGCAGTCGTCGTAATATTTTCACAAGAACCTAAACTTCGTAGCGAAATCATTAGTTTTACTATAGCCTATACAGACTGAAGGCCCATCATCCAGCTGGGGTTGAGGAGAGGGGAGCTCCTTCTGGGAGTGGTGAGCTGAACCTGCCCTTGCCTGTGTCGCAGATTCGGAGTTTGTTCCCTTAAGTGCTGACTCTCTTTTTTGTAACCAAAAGAGCAGCGTTGCGCACGTGCACAACACACACAGAGAGAGAGGCAGCAAAACAAGAGAGAGAAATCCCATATGAAGAGGGAGAAGCACCCAAATGTCCATATGAAGCCAGTGTACCCAGAGGTCTCTGGGCGGCTTACAATAATTAAAATTCAATACAATAAAAATAAAATGATTAAAATATAATTAAAATTCCCATCATCAGGACCCACAGTTGATGTTATTTCAGTTAAAAGCCTTCTGGAACAGGCTTAGTAGCCACAACTTGAGAGAAGACAGGGTGGAATGGGATATGCTGGAAAAGAGCAGGGCCGGCTGCCTGGATCTGTGAACTGGATGTTTTCTTGCAGTCCTGATTCTGCGTCTTCGTTTTTGCCAGCCACCTTGTATATTTTATGAAAACTCAGTGGCAGGTCATATCGCACCCTCCTGTAAATGAAGAACTGCAAGGGAGCTAGAATTTGCTGGGACATTCCCTGCCATTTTGTCTCTTTGGTAGGAAAAACTCTGTATGGTAAAGATCGGCAGACTAGGAGCTGGCGGATCCAAACAGTGGCAGACCGTTTTTAAGTCAGCTTGCCAGTGTGTAATGGGAGTGGGTGCTAAAGCATGCCCCAAGACTTTGGGATGGGTGTTGTGGACCAGTAGGTGTTTCCTGAAATGGGCAGATTCGACCCCAGATGTCCTGTTTGCCCAGCGGTCTGCTTGAGAGGGTGCCGGGAGGCCAAAAGGATTTGCTCTTCTTAATTAGGAAGAGGAGAGGAAGTGCAAAACGAGTTTCCCTCATGCAGTTGTGATTTCCCAGCGCTTTATAGATCTTAAAGAAATATCAAACGATTGGTTGACCTTGTCACCCCGCAGCAGTTGATTATTAAAATGGAAATTGGTGGTGCTTCATTTTCTTAAGCCCACCAATGAGTTGAATCATGCAAATATAATTTGTACCTATTTTCCTCCATATGTGAGCTGGTATATTTTGCATGTATTTATATTCTGCATTTCAGGGAACTAACAATGACTGTGATAGCAGCCCTCTGTTGTTGCTGTTTTGTTCCATTTTACCCCTTTCCCTTCAAGCATCATCCATATAAATTTATATTGTTTCTGACAGTTTAAAATGTTATATCCTTATTAACCTTTAAATTTATGCTTCAAACGGGCCTGCTGGGATTGCATTACGCCGTGATTTAGAGGACATTTGAGATACTGTTCTTCTCTGATAACTAGTGTGAATAGTTATTCTATATTCATTATCAGATTATATTACTCCGAAGAAAAGTTGTTAAAGTTATCACTTAGGGTGTTCCTAGAGAGCTGAAAATTACTTTGTTAATGCTCATTAGAGGAGCTGTTGCAAGAGGACCGAGTGGAAAATAACTCTCTTTTTTCTGCTTTACAGCATCTTGAAGTCCATGGAGTTTGCAGCATCGGACGGCTCCAGCTCTCAGGTAATGAACTTACCTTGACTTTTGGCAGGAATAACGCTGGAAAGCGGGATTTTAGAGGCAGGCTTGGAATGAGAAAAGCATTGTATCTCCTTTTAAACACAGCAAGAACCTGTGAGGCTTTTTAGGTAAAGACATCTGGTATAGAAGTTCTGTGTTCAAATCCTTACTCAACCAGGCACTTAACTAGATGTGTTCTGATGTCTCCTTGGTGGAAGGAATGGTTTGGTTCCTTGCAGAGATCCATCTTCAATCTCTGGTTTTCCTGCTTTTTGTTATGTTGCATTGTTTACTGTGTATTTGGTGCTGCTCCTCATCCTTTCCTGTCTTGTTTGGTGAAAATTTCAAGATTAGAGGTGGAGCGTGATCTTGAGTAAGCTTGCCAGGGTATAAGAGGGAGATGTTAATTTTCTCGGTCGTGCGCAGGAGGTGTGTTGGAGAGAAAATGATCATTGTACCAATAGGCATTTAATCTGTTTGGTCATTTCACTGTCTTTGAAATGGACAGGGAACGTGGGGGGTCCTCCGGCACAGGCTCTCGCCCTCACCCTAGTGGCTCCAGGGCATGTACAGACAGTCTGGCCTTTCCGTCTTACCTGCAGCTACCTTACCTGTCCCGATTCTGTGGCTGGAGGTGTTTTTGGTCATGTAGGCAAATTCGACTCCCTTCTCTTCCCCAGAGCAGTCTTTCCTGCTGATCTCCCCTGTCTCAGCTTCCAGAAGGAGTATAAAACCACAGTGCGAAGAAGCCTCAACACTTCTGGTTCTGTTTTCACCTGGGGCAGGGAGAAAATGCTATGCAGCCAGAACCTATACCTCTTTGGGGAATGGCGCCAGGTAGCTAGCAGGTGTACACTTGCTTCCTTTTGCTTCTCTGTTCTATTCTGCATCCCTGTTGAGGAGCCGTCTACCCAGTAAATCTTTTATATCTTCGTCAGGCATCGGAGAGCTTAGGCTTACACTTTGGTATTTAGAGTCCTCATAATGTGAGGCCTTGAACTGGATAGCTTACTGAGCATGTGTGTGAAATCTCGCACTAATGTCCCCACCGTGGCTGCTCACAGGCATTCCTTCTTGAAAGGGGGACAGGAATCTAGCATTTCGGTCCGCCTCAAATGCACAAGGGCACTAAACGAAACAAAGAACACTAGTGAGGAGGGGGATGGACCTGCAACGTCTGATCTCGTCACAAGTTACTCTCGCCAGATCAAAGGTTGCAAATGGGATTCTGGCACCTTTAGTGCAGACCTGCTTTCCAGAGGACCTGCCGTTGTATTATTTCCGGGGGAGGGGGGTTGATGATTGAGAGCCGTGCACAGGGAGAGGGGAAGGGTCGTCTTTGGTGACTGATCTAATTTATCTGTTCCTTCGGTAACAGTGAAACACAGTGTTTTGAGGAAGATACACCACGATAGCGCAGTGTCTGGAGGCAAACTGGCGTGGAGGGGGGAAAAAGAAGATTAATGGAACTCTTAGAAATACATCTCTAGAGCCGATAAGCAGTCTGCACCAGAAAGCAAAATAGTGTGCCGCTGTAGGTGGGAGAGTCGTGACCATCAAATCAAATCAGGGGGGACAAATTCCAGAATTAGGACCAAGTGCCAACGGCAGCCTCCTCGCCTTCTGCCCCAGCTCCCTTCCTGACCGTGCTTAGACAGGTGTGCCTTCTCTGTGGTGAGGGGACCAACCTCCCGGTGTCTCTTCCTCCACAGGATGCTGCGTCCAAACCACTGGAGGTTCTGCTGCTGGAAAAGAACCGCCTCCTGCAGTCAGAGAATGCCACGCTGCGGATCACCAACAGCGACTTGAGTGGTAAGTGAGTGGAAAGCGAGAGCTCCAGTTTGTCTTGGCTCTGTCTGCTGGGAGGACAGGCAGAGGGCATCGGATCCCAGGCGCAACTGAAAGAAGAAGGGTGGGCAAGGACCTGGAATTGACGTTGGATTGCTCCCTCTTCCTTGTCATACTGTAGATGAAAGGAGGAGGCTTTGAGACCTCAGAGACGTGGTAGAAGTTAGGAAAGAGGAACCTCGGCGAGTGTCGTGACAGGCCGCGCTGGAGGCTGCCTTTTGCTTTCGTGGCAATCTTGAACAGGGTGCTGGTGTCGGGTCCCTCTGTTTTCTGAAGCAGAGACAGAAATGGATTTGTTAGTGAGCTTCTCATCCGCTTACTAGCTAGGCCTGCCCGAACCCCAATTACTATATTTCTGGTAGCGACAAACTTCAGGTTTCATTTGCTTTTTAAACACGTGTCTATGTTTCAAAGGAGTGTTGGATTTTTAAAGCATGTGTGCGTTCAGGCAAAGGGGGTGATGGTATTTTTCAGAGGTTTTTGTCTTCTTGAGGTCTCTGCAGCTTCTGGTAAATCTGTAAGAAGGTGCCCAACTGTGTTTGCTGCATTCTGAATAGTACCTGATTTATTTCATGTCGTCCGTTGACCTGTGGTTTTCTCTAATCCAGTGAGTTGTACCTAGCATTTCTAAAATGTTTGCTGCATTTGGGTTCAGTCAAGGTCTGCTGTTGTGTGTGAGGTGGGGTGAAGACCAATGTTTCTGCGTCAATGCATTAAAGCTCCAAAAAATGTATAAAAACAGCACTTCATGTCATTGTTGTATTGCAAATGCTTGAAAGGGGGATTCTCCAGGCTGCAACATACAAGAAAGGTGCAAACATGAAATGCATGTTGTTTGTCTTGGGGGCCTTGTTTGGCTTATTGAAATTTAAAGCAACAAACAAAATCAAAATCCAAACCACCTTCTTCATTGACCCTTATTTAAAAACAAAAACAAACAAAAAAGCAAAACACAACGTGCACTTTTTTTCCCTTTTGTGGGGCAAACTCTGCATTTTGGTCTTGGTTTTTCCCCCCCTTTTTGATCCCCCATAATGCATTATGTTTGACCTTCCTTGTAGGGTCAGCCAGGAGAAAAGGGAAAGACCAGCTTGAGAGTCAGCGTCCTGCAACTTTGCCGGCCTCCCCTCCTCCTCAGTTGCCCCGCAATGCAGGGGAGCAGGCCTCCAATACTAATGGTACACACCAGTTCTCACCAACGGGTTTAAGTCAAGACTTTTTCAGCTCATCCTTGGCAAACTCCGGCTTACCCCTGGCTTCTACAGGAAAATTTGCACTAAACTCTCTCCTCCAGCGCCAGCTTATGCAGTCCTTCTACTCCAAGGCAATGCAGGAAGCGGGAAGCACAAGCATGATTTTTTCAGCAGGTCCCTACAGCACAAACTCCATCTCTTCCCAAAGCCCCTTGCAACAAAGCCCGGACGTCAACGGCATGGCTCCGTCGCCCAGCCAGTCGGAGGGCACGGGCAGCACCTCCGAAGGCGAGGAGATCGACACAGCCGAAATTGCACGCCAGGTCAAAGAGCAGTTGATCAAGCACAATATTGGACAGCGGATCTTTGGACACTACGTCCTGGGACTCTCCCAAGGCTCGGTGAGCGAGATCCTGGCGCGGCCCAAGCCGTGGAACAAGCTGACCGTGAGGGGCAAGGAGCCGTTCCATAAAATGAAGCAGTTCCTCTCCGACGAGCAGAACATCTTGGCGCTGCGCAGCATCCAGGGCAGGCAACGAGGTGAGCAGGGGTGGGTGGGTGTGGGCTGGCAAGGCGGCGTCTCCTCTGGAGAGGGGTCCAGGCCCAGGAAAGGCCGGGTCTGCTCAGACGGGGGTGGGGGGGTGGGATGTGTTCTCGCATAAGATGGCCAAAGCGCGCTGGCTGGAGTTTCCCCTACTTGAGAGGGTGAAGTGGTGGAGTAGAAGAAGGTGGACGCCCAGCCAGAGGGCTTGGTGGGAACGAGTGAGGAGCCGTTGTGGAAGGCTGGGGTGGGACTCTTTCCCACCCCCCTTTGGGTCTCCCCAGCGTTTGTGCAGGAGGCTGTGACAATTGGTGGATGGTGCTTGTTGTTCGTGAAATGAGCAGGGAGGCCGGTTTGCCTTCTGATTCAGGCACCCAGCCTGCAGAGCCTGCCCTGCTGCCTTGGCCGGCAGGGAAAGCAAGCCTTGGTTGGTTTGGTTAGGTACATAAACAGCTTACTCTTAGGAGATGTGACATAGGAGCCTTCCTGGGATGAACTACTGAGGGTTTTCTCGCCAAGCCATTCTTGAGCTCTGATCCCTCAATACCGTTCACTTTGGCTATAGCTTTTTTTTAAAATTATCGATGATTTCTACCCACCACACATGCTTTGTTTATGGTCCCCCCAACAGCTTAGGGTAGCTGTTGATATCACAAGCCTCCATCAGAATTTCTCCCCTGGCCCAAACCCCCTCCTGCAGCATTCACCTCCGTGCAGCCAGGCTCTGCCAGCTTTGTTGTGGTAGAATAACCTCTTCCCCATATCAGGCACCCACTTCCCCCAGCCCGAGAGGACACGTCTTGCAGTGCAAATCAACTCTTGCTCTCGGCTTCAGGGCGAAGCAAGAGGACAAAGGCGTCGGAGTTACATAACATCTCAGTCTAAAGCACAAAAGAGAAAGCTTGAGAGCAAGACACGGGGGGGGGGAGGCAGGCTGGCCTAAAGGTCTTCATGGATGGCAAGGCTGGAATGGGCTCATCAGTGTTCCTGGCAATATGTTTTTCCCATTCCCCACTCCCCATTTTCTGTAGAATTCATTGAAAAAGCACAACATCTACGAGCAATACCCCCCCAGATGTGCCGCACTACAGCTCCCATCATCCCCCTGTCATGGACTACCACGCCCATCAGCCATGAGGGAAAGAGTCTGCTGACTCTGGGAGTGATGGTTTAACCTAGTGGGAGGGCCCCCCGTTTGAGAGAGGCCCCATCCGAGGGCAGCAGGTTGAGGAGGCCTTGCTTGGTGACCCAACTCCTCTGCCCTGCCGGGGGGGGGGAGGCAGAGCTCTGGGGCAGAGCCCAAGGTTTCTGTGCCATTGGTCCGAGGCTCAGAGCTGCTCCCAGGCAAGGTGTGGAAAAAGAGTGAGGTCGGCCTGCCAAGGGGTCTTGGGCTCTCCCATGAAAACGGGGCTTTGAGGGAGCAAGGCAGGGCAGGAATGCCCCAGAGTCAGTCAGCGTTCTTTACGTGGCAGAACCAGAATTTGCTTTTATTACAAAGTTCATTGTGGCATCATCCAGGGCTTACTTTTCTTTGCCCTGCACTTTAAAAACAAAAACATGCAACACCATATCCCTGTATTTGCCAGTAACTCCAGTTCTCTGGGCGGTTTGCCTTTAAAAAAAAAGCATGCAAGCTGAAGTTCCTATAGGGTACATAAACATGGTGGGATAAAAATCACAAGCTCTGAAGTGAAAAGGAACGCCAACCGTTGGAGATGATGTTAGTGCAAAGAATATTAAAATCACTGGAACTTTCAAACATTTTTTAAAGCCCACTGGTGTGTAAAAGAAGGCAGCAAAGGCCCCCGATAGTCCCATCTGTCATGGAATAAATGGATAGATCCGGTGTGGTGTAAAAACAGTCCTATATTTTATGTAATGTTAGAAAGAAGAGGAGGGGGTAGCAGAAAGACAAAGGAGAGGCAGCTCTGTGCCTCTTGTAAATCTAGCTTTCTCTCAGATATAGACAAATGTTGCGGCGGCCCACCTTTAAAAAAATGGAGAGCTTCACCCAGGTTAGAAGTTAGGAGGGCTTCCTTAGGGTCTCCTGTTGGCCGTTGTGCGAGGAGAATCAAGCTTCTGAAATGTTCCCCTCTTTTTAGCCATGTTCTTCAAGCTTCCTTATATCCTCCCAGCCCCTTTTTGTTATAAACTGGCCTAGGAGGTTGAAATAATTCAGAGTCTGGACAACCCACATGTGGATAAAACAGCTGCAGGGATAAGAACCCTGGACCAACTGGGGGGGGGGCCCTCCACGTTTGACCGGAACGGCTCACCTGCCCCATCACAGGCTCTTGCTTTCGGGGCAGGGGAGTGTTAGAAACTCTTGCGTTTATGTATTATTTATTTAAAATATTTTAGCCCGCCTTTCTCTTTAAAAAGGACTCAAGGCGACTTTCCTCATTAAAAAGACAATAAACACTTCCCCCCTGAAAGGAAGACCTCCCTTTGCGGGGGTGGGGGCAGCAGGGGGGAGTGGTAGGGCTGCTTCGAGGCTTCCCTTTTGCTCCGTAAGTACAACGCCTACACAGAGAGGCCATGTAGACCTTACACACGTGCATGCACCCACACACTCTTTCTCACAGGGCATTAAGACAGATGTGTGAAGCCTAGATATTCGTAAATCTGACCCAGGGTGGGAGGATCTGTCAAGAAAACTTACTGTGCACAGCAACATATTAATTTTGTCCGTAAAATCGATGAGATGCTCAGAATGCATTTTATACAAGGATTGAGTCTTTGCATTCTGACACGACTTCATCACTCATGGTTTATGAAGTGGCCTCCATGTCTCCTTCTCCCAAATTTCTCCTCCCCTTCATTGCTCCTCAGTTTCAACACAGAAGTGCTGGCTTGTGTTAAGCCACAGTTCCAGATTATGTCCGAACCAAAGAATTCCAGGTTAATGGGGATCCACCGAGCAGAGTAATAAGCCAAGATCTGAGCTGGTTTTAGAGAGCAGCCAGAGTTCCAGAGAGTTGCTTGGTTGGACTCCAGCACCAAGTATCCCCCAACTAGGGTGGCTACGGCTTTGCTTCTTAGGGGATTCTGGAAATTGTAGCCATCCATCCAAGCGCAGTAATAACCTGCCTGCTGGTGTACTGTATTTAGTGCATTGGAAAACAGTGCAGTGGCGTGGATCCGATGGCGAAAGCTCACATGCAGGGGTTCCAGACATGTATGCCTCCTCATGGGGTAAGATGATGCACAGGCGTAGAAGAGTTACCCGAGTGAGGGCTTTCCTGTACCCGAGAGAGATGAAGAGCAGGCAGCAGCGCTGGGGCCAAGGCTTCCTTCAGTATTCCCAGCAGCGGGAGCCAAAGCCACGTATACCCCTCCCAGCTCTCCCTTTTAGCCCCCCCCCTTTGCAGGAAACGTTCAGTCCCCGCAGCCACCTTCCCCGTGTCAAGTGAGCTGTAGTTACTGTGGGCGGGGGTGAGAGGAGAGACCAGCACCACATAAAGTGGGCTTGGCCGTTCTTTGGCCAGCTTCCCTTCTCTGTGCATTGCAGCAGGTGCCGCGGGGCCATGCTGAGAAAGGAGGCGAGCAGAAGGGGCCCCGCTCCCTCCCCACATGGCGGTGCTTTGCTCAGGGTGTGAGGCCCTTTGGGAGGAAAACCTGAAAGGCGAAGCGGTCGCCTGGGGAGGGGAGAGACCACTCGGTGAGGTTCGCACCTGCGGCCCCTTTGGGACCTAGTGCTCTTGCCACGAGGACTGGCCTGCCTCCGTCTCTCTGTACCTTTTAGATGCTGATGTATGCCTTCCTCCTCTCCTTTCTGGGCCTAGCTATTATCTTCCTTCACCTTCCAGCCTGTCTCTCGCTTCCTTTCCAAAGTGGCCACCTCCTTCGGCCAGACCCAGGAGGTGAAGCAGCCGCTTGATTTCACTGCTCCTTATGCTCGCCCTCCGCTCGGCCCCCTGCCATCTCCCCGTTCGTTTGTTCGTGTCTCATCTCACAGCTCACCGTTCTCACAAACCAGCATCCCCTGATTGTTTTGTTCTTACCCAACTTGTTTTTCAACAGAGAATCCAGGCCAGAACCTGAACAGACTATTTCAGGAAGTACCGAAACGAAGAAGTGGGTCGGAAGGTACGTCTCAGGCAGGTGTTTCTCTTTGCAGTCAATCTCTGGAAAGTGAAGTGTGCTTAGCTGTGTGTCGTCTTTGTTGTTGTTGTTGTTGCGGAAAGCACCGAGGGTGCCGTTTGATTCTGGCCTGGAATCTGAAAGAAAAACAGAGAGGGGCCTTGTGCAGACCCAACGCTGGCTCCCTGCAAACCGAAGAATTGCAACTCAAGCCATCTGTGGAAGTGCATCTTCCCTCCTCTGCCCTCGAGAACAGCTCTCTCTCTCTCTCTTCTCTTCCCAGCATTAGGCATGATTTCATGTTAACACAAAAAACAAACTGTGCCTGATGGTAATCGTGGTTGTTCTGGCAACCTTGAGTTCATGCCAGTGTATGGAATGGACGGGTTCCTGGACCTTTATTGTGAACTTGAGCCCAGTTACCATCAGCGCCTTTAGTGTCACAGCCTGTATAACGGCAGCGGCAGCAAACGCTGGACAGAGGAGGGAAGGGAGGGCCTCTTCTCTGACCGCTGGGCCACCAAGAAGGGTGTGAGCAATTCTTGAGGTTGGCTCCCGATTGGTAAACTGTGGTGTGCAGGGAGCCTATGTTGCATCTGTACTGGACCAGTAAGTATAAAACAAACCATGGGTTAGCATAAACATGATTCTGTGTTGAACATGTAGGCATCAAGAGCCCTCACTTTTCTTTTTCTCTTCTAATGCCGCTGCTGTACTAACCTGACTCCTTCCAGTGAACCTCCTGCCTCCCCTAGACAGAGCTAGACTTCTAGAGTCATGAATGTCGGCCACACCGGTATCTTGTCTGTCCTCCAAGAGGTCGAGGTCAGGCACCCATAAAAACAAATGGTCTCCTTTGATCCTCATCAGGGCCGAGGTTGGAGTGGCCCAAGTCACACGGAGAATTTCATGGCTGAGCAGAGATCTGATCCCAGGCTTCCTTGGCCCAAATCTGAGACTCAGCCCACTCGCTGTGTGCCATGGGCTCTGGCAGCCCCGATAGATGTTGTTTTGGGAACCCAGACGTTTGGCTTTCGTGGTCCTGAGCAAGTGGGAAACGAAAGGTAAAGTAAGTGTTTGGTGCGTGCAGGTGATACAAGGCACATTTCCTCTTCTTTGGTCTTGAACGGACAGTCTTTGAATGTTACTGTGTCAGCATTACGCCTAGACATGGGGAACACAGAATTCGACTGGCAGACAAGAATCCTTGCCTTAAGCTGCACCTCTTTTTGGAAGATGCAAGCCCGCTGCTGCCTTCTGAGCGTCTCAGCTCCTGAAGGTGTTTGCAGTGCTCCCATAAGCGTCAGACAAAGGGCAGGAGGAGGAGGAGGAGGAGGATCTGTAGCAAGTTGGATTCAGGAGCTTTAGAAACTTGGGAGGAGGGAGCTCTGTGCCACACTTGGTTCCCAGCTCAAAACGTTTGTTTTACCTACACCAAAGGACTTTCCAAACACCCAAAGTGCAGAACAAGCAGAGAGAGCTGTAGGATGGCGGTCAGTTTTAATCCCAGAAGTCCTGGGTTCAAACTTCACATCAGCAATAATCTCCCTTTTGGACCCTGAAGCAATTTACCTATTTTATTTTACTTTGCATTGGCCTGAGTCCTCTGTTAGGTTCATGCTGATGTACGTTGCAGTAGCAAACTGCTTAAAGGTTTGCTGCTTGTATTGTGAGAATTCAAGTAGAAACTCATTAATTAGTGGCAATATACTATCACAATTTATGCTTTAGCACCACTATAAATCTACAGTAGGATTCTAAACATTGTACTTATGCCTGTTAATATATGCAGGGCAGCTTATAAAGGAGTCTCCACAATATAGAGTCACCATCTGATCCATTTACAGTATTTGTTTCGTCAGAAACAACTTGTTACGAATAGCAGGTAACTTGTAATTAGGTCTCTTTTTCTGATTTGTCACTTTTTTTTTTGTTGTTCACTAATCTATCTGTCAAATGGCAATTAGAATCACCAGATGATAACGTGGCCCTTGAATTCAGCCAGGATCAAAGTAGCCAAAGCAAAACCCTAACCACTAAAGAAGGAATTCAGTAGCATTTTGCTGAAAAATACTACCGGCCGCCTGGCCTTTGAATAACCAAGGCATGAGTAAGGTTCATTACACAGCAAGGGAGAATTTTCATACCTTTCAGGTAACTGTTTCAGTTACCTCTCTCAGAACAGGCTGTGTGCGGCTTCATTGCTTGGCTCTGTTTTGCTTGTAGATTTCAGTGTTCTTTTTAAGGAACAAAATAATAATAATTTTACCTGCTTTCAAATAAAATAAGCAAGAGTTACTTTTAAAAAATTACTGCTGCATCAGGTGAGATTTGGAATTGCAGCTAAGTAACCTTCCAAGTTCTGGAATTTGGCTCTTGTCTTTAAAGACTTTGCGTTCATGCTTCTATCGTAAGCTCAGCGGGGCCGAAGACCGCCATGTGAATGTCCGTTTCAGGGACAGCAGGAACAAGAGGGCCCCAGCATGAGTCTCACGTTTCATCCTGGTTTTGTCTGGGGGTACCTCTTTGGAGATGACCATCTTCGGTCTTGGGCCTCTCCCAGTGTGATTCTCTCTGCTCCTGCCCGAAACAGATCTGTTTTTGATAAAAAGCGCACTCTGTCCTCAATGCTGCCTTCTCCCACCTGATCCCACCTGAGTCTTGAAACCTGGGTTCACACACCCAGCTCACTTCATCATTTTGTAAGATTAGACAGGCGAATCCATTAGACAGGGCCTATCCTGGTGGTGGCCCTCACACTTCATGGCTCATTTCTGGATGAAATTTGACAAGTCCTTCTCTGTCCTTTTCGTGAGAGCTTGTATTCTTCCACTTCTAGCATTTTAATGTTTAATATTCTTCTGCTTTTGAATGCTGCTTTCAACAACATGTTGATATCTTAACTTTTCTGGCCTTTTGGCAATACATTTGAATGCCTTCCCCCACCACACACACCAATTTTTGGTAAGGTTCATTTTTCCACAGTAGTAGGCTGTGAAAAATAACTAAAATGATGGGTTATAGAAGGACAATGAGAATATTGTGGGTTGCTTTAGAAGGTGGACTGGGCTGGGGATTAGGGTAGCCATTTATACAATACTAATAAAGTAGAAGAAATGCTCCAGAAAAGTGGACAGTGGTTTGCATTAAAATCTGCACGTAGTTTAATTAGACACCTACCTCAGAGACAGGCAGAGTGCTCACTGTTGACTGCAGGTGGCTTCCACAAGACCCCCAAAGCCACCTCAGCAAAAAAGAGAGATTTGTTTAGGTCGAATAAATTAGTTTTTTCTCCTCTCTGGGGCATTCAGATTAGTGCATGGTTAGAGTATGTGAAACCCCCACTTCTAAACCTGACATACAGCTACTCCTGTTTTACTCTGTGTGTTGCGGGGCAGGGCGACTCTTTCTGGGTGTGGTGTGAAATTTAAAGGGAAATGATTTGGCCCGGCTCTGCCAGAGTTCCTTGCACCTCATCAAAAGCAATCAAGTTCAAGGTGTGTCTTGTGATCTGTATAACAAGTCAACAGAAGAAGAGACTGTTGCATAGATACAAACTCAGAAACACAACCGCTTAAATAGCAGAACTAGACACTAGGGGGTAAATTTGAGTTATCTGCCATCCATTATGTTTCTTTCCCTAAACCGAGGTTGGGCAGAAAAGTGGTTTATATGCTGTGCTCTGTGCTTTTAGGACCCATGGCCACCCTGGCAAGGGCAGATGAATTGAAGCTCATGTTCTCTGAGCACCAAGCAAAAGCAGGACCGCTAAAAGCATACCATAGAAATATTAAGCTGTTATTAACTGAGATTAATGGCATATCATCATTTTATCTTATAATCCACCTAGCATTTTAGGCTACTGCCTAAGAAGTTTGCTTATTTTATTCCAGTTTACTTCTACTGTCTGATCGCCCAGAACATGGTGACACTAATGGAGCAATATGGAAGTGGAATTAATGAATGAATTAATCAATCAGTCTTAAACATTTTGGGGGATGATTACAACAGTGGAGGATATCTCAGAGCTTAGAACTTCTTGCCGTGTTAGTTTCTTATTAAATGGTTTGTTTATCCGATGTTCAGTGGACTAAATCTGGTTGTTAGTCCCAAATCAAATGAATGGGGCTTGTTAAATCAGTGCTTCTTGTAAGACCCAGAATTCTGTGGGTCTGCTTTAGTCGGGACTAACATTTGGGCAAGAACTTGAATTAAGAGATGCCGAAGTGTGCATTGGAATCGCTTCTGGAGGAAAATTCTGGGCCCCTGATGAGTACAAGCCATGTTAGGGCTGGTCTCAAAAGGTGGTTTCCGGTTTCAGAGGCTTTACTGCCCATTCGGAGCTATCCTCTTCAGCTGCCTGTCCTATGTCTTCAGGGGGAAATATGGCAGTGAGGGTGAAGCTTCTCTCCAGCACTTTAAAGAGGGTGGGAGACGGCTTGCCTGTTGCAGCTGCAGGGCCTCAAGGGACCCCCACTCACATCCGGAGGAGCATCTGCAAAAGTGACGCTGGCTGCTGCTTGCCTAGTATTGTTGAACAGGGTCTTTCCAGCCTCTGAGGAACCTCTTGGTGGCTCCTGTACTACAGAACCCGCCTACATATGTCCCAGACCCCTCTGGGCTGGAGCAGGCTGTGTGACACCTCTCACACTACTAGAAAGCAAGCAGGCACTCAGCTTTCTGCATCCTGCATTCATTCATTCCTTTTCAGGAGAGTGACAGAAGCACTTCCCTCCTGCTCCCTCGGTTGTCTACACCACGCAGTCTGTATGGTCGGGTTGGCTGTATCCCACAAAGCACAGGACACTGGCAGAGTTCATGCCTGCACCCAGCTTAGATCATACTGGCTGTGTGCCTCTTTCTGATTCCAGATCTAGTGACACTGAACAAACCGCATTTATGTACTCTTTCTGGGCAGGCTTTGTCATTGTATATAAGCTTCATTTGCTTCTTTTTTTTTAAAGTACACTATTCCTCCCAGTGTTTTAATACTAGAATCATGGAGTTGGAAGGGGCCTCTAAAGCCATTGAGTCCAACCCCCTGCTCAAGGCAGGAATCCACATCAAAGCAGATGGGACAGATGGCTGTCCGATTTTCTCTTGAAGGCCTCCAGCGTTGCCCGAGGTGATTGCTCCCCTTGTCATACTGCTCCAACAGTTAAGAAGTTTTTTCTGATATTCAGCCTAAATTTGGCTTCCTGTAGCTTGAGCCCATTATAATGGGTCCTGCACTCTGGGATGATCAAAAGCAGATCCTGCCCTTCCTCTGTAGGACTGCCTTTTGAGCAATTAAAAAGTACTGTTCATATTATCTCCCCATAGTCTTCTTTTCTCAATAGAACAGAATTAGTACCCATTAGTTATCATGGTGGGAACCGAGGTCATGCCACTGAAAAGGCAAGCTGGTGGAGGCCATTCAAAGTGAAAGATGGACTGATCTGGTGTTGAGGTACTCACACAGTGCTTCTGCAGTGAGGTGTGTCCAGGAGAAAGGCGGATGATGACATGCCTGTAATGAGGAAGGGAGTGGCTATTGGAAATTCAGCCCTTGGTGCCAAAAGTTCAGCAGGGACCAGCAGATGCTACTCAGCAACCGTCTCTAACTGCACTGTGTCCTGCTCTGGAGAAGGAGGGCCGGCATTCCAGAATATATGCAGTGTTTCTCCTGCTAGCCTGTTGTCCTTGTGCACACAGCGTCTAACAGGAACACCACCAGAAACCTTGAAGATGAGGAGAGTGGAAAAGCTTTCCTCACTGGCCGGGGTAGATTTGAACAAGACATTTCCTGTGGCTCACTCTGAGTATCACCTCCCCTGTATCCCATGCACCTTTTCTTTCTGTCTCTTACTCCAGTCAGCAATACTGGAATGTAAATATCTTTACATTCAGAAAGATATTTTTGTTTTGAGAAATCTAGCAGACGTTCTTTCAAAGGTGGGGGGAGTGGAAAAGAAACAGACTGGCAGTGTGTGCTTTTTGAGAAATCTTCATATTGTTTGTGGGTGGATCTGGCTCACATATTTTCTAGTAGGTCATAGAAAAACGTTGATCTGAATCCTTGTTAAACGACGCCAGCATCCGCAGCCTTTGCCAAGTCGCCTCAGATTGAAAGTGACTTTAAGTGGCCTCAGCACAGTGAGGGAGCACCTTGTGCAGTGGGGTCCCAAAGTCAGTTCCCCGCATCTCCAGTCGACGCAGCCAGCTATGCCGATGGGCGGCCCCTCTCTTAGCCTGAAACCTTTATAATATTTTTTAAAAGCAGCACTGAATGGTCAAGTAAAAAGAAAGAAAAAAGCAGCACAGGCTGATGCATGTCCGCAGGAGACAAATGCATGTCCGTCGTGGTTGTGGTGGTTGATTTTATTGATCATGTTGTCTTTCTGCAGTTCCTTTCTTTAAATGGTTCAGGAACAGATGCCTTTAAATGGAAACACTGGTCCTCAGGGAGATGCTTGCTAATTGAAGGGGGTCTCCTTTTTTCTCTCCAGGTAACATCACCACAAGAATCCGAGCCACAGAGGCGGGCTCTGATGAAGCGATCAAATCCATCTTAGAGCAAGCAAAAAGGGAATTGCAGGTCCAGAAAACAGGTAGGTGAAAACAGTGTGGAAACAGTTTGTGAAAAAGGAAACCTAGCCATATCGTTTTGACTAGCCGGCTCTATTGCTGTGCTGTTGTATTCTTTAAAAAGTGGTTAGCCTTCCTCCTGTTGTCACTTCGTTCAGCTGCTTCCCAAAAGTACGTCACAAAGCATGATTTTAATGTCTGCACCTCTGTTTAGCAACAAGCTGGCTGGATAGCTCAGTGAGTTAGGTCTCTGGCTGGGGAGCCAGAGGTTCGGAGTTCACTCCCCTTGGTGCCTCCTGGGAGAAGAGCCAGCCTGGGTAGCCTTGGGAAGCAGCACGGTCCCAGGGCGCCCCCAGAGGAAGGGAAGGGAAAAACACTTCTGAATATTCTCCACCTAGAAAACTCTGAAGAGGGTCCCCAGAAGTCAGAATTCACTCAACTGCACGTGATATTGTTATGATATGGTCATGGGAGCCACTAGCCAGGAGGTGTAAATACTGTAGATATTCCTTTTCTCCAGAGAAGCTTTAGGAGGCTCCTCCTCCTATAAGGTAGAGTCTTAGGTCCCTAACAGGGAATACTATGCATCCTTACCAGGCCGTAAAAGAGACAGCTCTGATACCATTCATAGCCGTTGGACACCACTTTGATGGTCATGGTTGGGATCCACAGCTCTTTGAGGCATTTCACGTCATTTGCTGCCATTCAAGGGTGTGCAAGAAATCTCTCTGTCCAAGCGCTCTAAGTCCTCTACCAAACAGCAGGTCCCACCGTTCCTTCGCATGGTGTCATGGCAGTTCACGTGGTACTGCCATAACAGTATCATCTAAATGCACTCTGTGATTCTCTGGACTGTTTGGGAGAGGCCTTGGCGCGGGGGGTGGGGTGTCTGTGGGTGTGCACACAAAAACTGATTCAAAAATAAGGACAAAGTACATTTTTTACACTTCCCTGACCTAGTCGTCAGCAGATTTTATTCTACATTGTCCTCCGCATGATCATCCAGAACTCTAAAATGTGTATGTAAGGGAGGGAAGGCCAGGAGGTGGGGCGAGTGTTATATCATTCTGAAAACAGAAAGTTCAAAAAGCTGATGTGAGTGCCCCTCGGAGCGCCATGGAGCCCCACGGGACAGCTGATAATCTCTCGCTCTGGGTGAAAGAGAGCGAAGAGCACAGCCAGGTAGGAGTGCCGGTGGAAGAAAAGGACAGTGGACATGAAGAGAGGCCCTTCCGAGGAGGGAGCAGAAGGAAAGCCATCCTAATGATCACCAAGCAGGCAGAGTCAGAATGCATGGGTGGAAAGTGACTGTGTTGAGCAGGGGCTCGTGTCACAACCTCTGTCCTCCCTCCTGGCTAGGTGGCAGGTGATCCCCGTGTTGTCCTCTTGGACAAGGTGCGCCACAGTCCACGAATGTCTTCCTACTCCTACTCCTCTCCTGACATATCCCATGACAGGCTGAAACCCACCCTTCTGAGATTTACCATTGACATTTCCAGATGAGTGGTCAGGGGGGTTAGGGTGTCCAAGGGGGCTTGAGGCCCAGTAGGAGTGGGTGGGATGCCTGACGTGGCTCCAGCGTGCCTCTGATCAGACCTTGTTTTTACTTCCCTCCCCAGCTGAGCCGGCTCAGCCCCCTTCCGCCTCAAGCAGCGGCGGGTCTGACGATGCCATCCGCTCCATTCTGCAGCAAGCCCGGCGGGAGATGGAAGCTCAGCAAGCCGCCCTGGAACCTTCCTTGAAAGCCAGCCCCCTGTCGCAAGCCGAAATGTCCCTCTTGTCCCCCAAACTGATCCCCACGCCTGCCATTTCTTCGGTCTCCAGTTACTCCCCCCTGGCCATGTCCCTGAAGAAGCACTCCTCCTCCTCGTCCACCTCCTCTGTGGATGCCAGCGCCCCCTCCCTGCAGGCACTCCCGGGTCTCAAGAAGGAGACCCCGGAAGCCTCCGTCCTCGACCTCCATGGGATGTCGGACTCGGCCCAAGGCATGCTGAGGCATGTCAAAAATGAACTGGGGCGCAGCGGCGTGTGGAAGGACCACTGGTGGAACACCGTGCAGCCTGACCGACGGAGCGTGGCTCCTCCTCCGGAGGAGCCCAAAGTGGAGGAGCCCCCCAGTGGGAAGGAGAAAGCCAGCAGCCAGCCCCGTTCCGAGCGCAGCAGCCAGCCGCTCCAGGGGCCTTCCTCTTCTGACTACTGGAAGGAGTGGCCCAACGCAGAGTCTCCTTATTCCCAGAGTTCTGAGCTGAGTGTGACGGGGGCCAGCCGCAGTGAGACCCCGCAGAACAGCCCCCTTCCTTCCTCCCCCATCGTCTCCTTATCAAAGCCATCGAAACCTTCCGTTCCTCCGCTGACCCCCGAGCAGTATGAGATTTATATGTACCAGGAAGTGGATACGATAGAACTCACCCGTCAGGTCAAAGAGAAGCTAGCAAAGAACGGCATCTGCCAAAGGATATTTGGGGAAAAGGTAAGATCTCGGCTTGAGGCTGGGTGGGTATGCCTGTGTGCACATGCAAGAGGGGAGTGCGCTCACTGAGCGGCATTTGCTCGAGAAGGTGTGGGAATGGCCAATTTCTGAGCAGTTTTACCACTGAGCAATATTTGACTTAAAAAGCAAGGGAATGGAACGTTTGAATCATTTACTCGTCAACTTTTAAGAGGCCCTTTCTTTTTCCCTTTTGAAAGCTTTGGGCAATTTTGTAAGCATCTAGAAATGGCACAGCCAGCTAGATAGCTTAGCTCTTTAGGTATGTGGCTGCAGAGCCCCCGATTCCCCCCCGTACCTCCTCCTGTGAGTGGGTGCAGCCTGGGGGGCCTTGGGCAAGCCGCACAGTCCCAGGAGGCCCCCCAGGAGGAGGAAATGGGAAACCGCTTCTGAGTATTCTCTCCCCGAGGAATCCTGAAAAAGGGGTTGCCCTAAGTCAGAATTGACTTGACAGCACATGATGATTATTAGAGATGGGGGTGTAGTCAGAGGCCAAAGACACTAGGCATCGTGTATGCTTCATGGTTGTACAAAAGTTTGCCTAAGAAGTTACACATGAGAAAACTCTCTCTTGAGCACAGCTGTTAAAGAGAACCCGTGTGATCCGGTCTCTGGAGTGCCAGAATGGGGGATCCTTGTTCTGTGTCTTCCCCCAGTGAGCCATGACGTGCTGTGGGCGATCTTGGGCCTGCCCTTTTTGCTCATCTTTACCTACCTCACTGGGGAGTTGTGAGGATGGGGGGGGAGGGGGAGGACAAGAAGGACCCCACATGGAACTCGATGGAGGAAAGGTGGGTTTTAAATCTCACCAGGAAGTGCAAGCGCAAGAGTGTGGCCTTCCTCTGCATCTCATCTGCACAGGCCCGATTATAAGACGGAGCCCTGAGGCTGAAGGCCACGGCAAAGGTTGCATGAAGGAATGACGCCAAGCACCGAGCCCACCTTCAGAGTCCCTGGTGTTGCTCTCAGTCCCCGGACTGCCCTGCTGCCAGGCCTGCCCCATGTGCAGCTGCTTTTCTTCTGGAAGGCTCTTCCTGCTTTCCCCTAGGCTGGGCTTCTGTTCCCCACCCGGCCACTCCTTTGCTCAGATCACCGAGCCTCCTGGATACGACCAGGCACTGCCACACACTCTAAAGCTTTTGCTGCACATTCTGCCCTCCGTACTTGGCATTTTGAAAGAAGAAAACAGAGCAAAATAAAAAGCAGGAACAAATTCAAAAGAAGCTGCATGCTGTACCAAAAATCTGGGGAAGAAAAACAGGTGCTTTTTAATGTTTTTCTCATCCTTCTGGAAATATCCTCTTCCAGTCCTCTAAAGCAGAATAGCAGGAGGTTGTTTGGGATTTAAGATCAAACCCCCTAAGTGATTTTTCAGGCAGGGGCTTCGGAGGCCCCATCCCCTGGCCCTAGAACAGACAGCCCTGGGTTCACAGATGGGAGAGGTCTGGGCTTTCAGCCAGCCAGCGTCACGAACCTCTGAGCCCAGCAGATCCCCCGTTCTAGAATTCTCCATAGTCACCCATCCCACGGAGCCCATGTTTGGTCCTCCATCTCAGCTGGTGTACCTGAAAGGCATGGCAAAATCCTGCCATTCTGAAGCCCTTCAGCTAAAGGCTTTAGGTTCAGTGCTGGATACACTGGCATCGGGAACTGCACTGAGGGTGGCAGTGAGAATGGGAAGCAGGAAAAGTGACCTCTTTTTCTGTGTCTCCTTCTGGAAACTTTCCTATGTATATAGTTGAAGAAGGAGAGTTTTTATAACCTGCTCTGTTACGGATTCTCTGTCCTTCCCTTCTAATTTAGAAGTGTTGTTCCAAGATAGTGTTTCATGTTTATGTACTTATAATGATTCAGTTGTATTTGAATGATTATTACTTTTTTTGCAGGCCCACCCACTCCCCTCTAGAGAAATGGGGTTGGGGGCCGGGGTGTTGGCCTTCCTTGTGCCAACGTGTCTCACGTGGTTTTGCCTCCCCCCCCCTTGCAGGTGCTGGGCCTCTCACAAGGGAGCGTCAGCGACATGTTGTCCCGGCCAAAGCCATGGAGCAAGCTGACGCAGAAAGGCCGGGAGCCCTTCATCCGGATGCAGCTCTGGCTCAACGGGGAGCTGGGGCAGGGCGTCCTGCCCTCCCAAGGGCAGCCCCAGGGCCAAGGTAAGGGCACAGGAGGGGGGCCCTTTGCGTGGGTGTCAGGAAGTCAGCTCTGGTCTGGGGGAACGACAAGGTTGTGGGCAAGGTACACAAGAGGAAATACCCCACATGCCAAAGAAGGGGCACCTGGGGACGTCTAGGGCAGTGTTTGCTAGCAATTCCCGACCCTGTTTGAGCAGAACCAGATCTTACGGCCAACGGCAGCCGTCGCCCTTCCCCCTGTAGTTGGATCTGTCACACACACCAGCGGCCAAGAGGTTGCCGTGTGTTCTGAGCCCACGTGAGCACCGTCTCCTTTCTGCCATGCAAGCTGGGCTTCCTGAAGAGGGCTGGTGGGATTCCAGGACAGGCAAATGCTGCTTCCTTTCTCACCGCACTTCTGCGCCTGCAACGCTGGTCTCCTCAGGCATGGGCGGGCGGGTGCCGGCGTTGCCCTGCGGTGAGGCTTCATAGCACTGGAACTTCTTGGGGATCCTTCCAGGTTGCACTGAACCAGTTTCGTACACACACACCCCTTCCTCCTCCTTTTCTCTCCGCTTATCTGCCTCCAGACTCGCAAAGGGACCCCTTGGCCTTTGGCTAACCCCTGAACCCTTGTGTGGTGGGGGGCGTGAGGCTGTGAGTAACCCCCTTCTTCGCTGAGACTGCCTTGCTTTGTCCGTTGCAGCAGGAACCAGGGGGAGGGCTGGAGAAAGGATCAGGGTCGACCCACACATCCTGCGCCTTCCGGTTCTGGACAGGCCCACCTCGATCTCATTCATTTGGCATACATTTGCCAAGAGTCCAAAATTAATTTGACTGCAGAAGTCACCCCGCTCTGACTCAGCAAAGTTACCAATGCTCGACCACACTATCAGTGACACGTTGGAAGAGCGGGATGGAGCCTCAAGCCCATTGTACAGCCTGCAAGGGGGCAGAGGAGGTGTCCGGAAGTATTACAGTAACCATTCTGTCGAGGCCTTGCGACCTAGAGAAGTCTCCATGGTGTGCCCTCTGATTTCTGGTGCCTTTGGGCCCGAGGCCTAACCCGTGCAAAAACCTTAAGAGCTTACCATGGTGGTACCCTTTCATTCCACCATGGTTAATGCAGATCCATTTCTGGCCGGCTCAACCTCTGGAGAGGAGTGCCCGTGTTAGAAATCCCAACATCCAGACACTGTTCTTAAGATCCCACTTCACCCCCAACAAGAACTGGTGTCCAGACCAAGTGAAGCTGTTGCCGCCTCTGCCAAGAAGGGGCCCCCTGGCCCTCCCGGTGGTGTTGGCCTGAGTCTGCCATCCAGGAGGCGCTGGAGCTGATGGGGGCAGTGGGATCGGGTAGCGGCTGGGCTGCCCCGGACCTCTTCTGCACAGAGAGAAGAGGATGACTTTCTGGGAGGAGGAATATCACTTAACCGGGAGTGCCAGTTCATAGTTCATGGCAGGGCAGAGTTGGTGCCTTCTGGATGGCTCTCTCTAGGCCACCTTCAGGTGATGTTTTTAGTCTGGGGCGTGAAACTTGTCAAATGAATCTCTTGAGCTGCCCTGCCTTCCCTTGTAGACCGGAAGGGGAGCTGAGCTGGTCTGCCCGCCCTGTTGTCCTCTGTTCGGCCTGGTGTGTTAACTAGCTCTTGCTTTGCGGGCAGATTGTCGCCTGTTTGCCTCCCGGGCTTCTTCCTCACTGTCCTCCTTTTCTTCCTCCAGTCCTTCACTCTGTGTCATCGCTGCAAGATTCCCTCCAGCAGGGATGCGCAAGCTCAGGTTGTGGTCTGCTTTGTTATGAACTCTTTGGCTTTGTGGTGTTCTGTTTCGTGCTTCTACACTGCAGGGGGGGAGGCATCTGAGCCTGTTCCGTTTCCTGTGTGCCACATGTTTTCAGAGCGTGTGAGAGATGGATGGATGGATGGATTAGGAAGACAGACAGACAGACAGACAGATAGATATAGGGGTTTACACGCACATGCACACAGGAGACAGACAGACAGACAGACAGACAGACAGATATAGGGGTTTACACGCACACGCACACAGGAGAGAGAGAGAGAGAGAGAGAGAGAATAGATGCATGAGGATGAATGTTTTGCTGTCTTCCAATTGTCATGTGGGTGGATGGGGGATAGCCTGGCTTCTGATTTGGGAATCACTGCATGATCGCAACTGCAGACAAATAGTGAAACAGCCTCTGGGAGAGCAGCTTGAAATCTAGAAAACCAAGTGGCATCAGACAACCATCAGCTGTCAAACACCAGGACAGGATGACAAAGTCAGGAAGTCCCCAAAAGGCAGTACCGTAAAGGCTAGGAGGGAGGGTGATGTACCTTGCCTTGGTGCTGCCTCTGAGAAGGCCCCGTCCCTCTGGACATCTAGTGGCCGGAGCCAGAGAGGACCGCTTCAGTTTGAAGCATTCAAATGTGTGCGATCTGTGCAAGACGCATCAAAATGGAAAAACACTTTGGGGTCCTTAGCGAGGCGTCTGATCCCCTCATGAGCTGGTTCAGAACTTACCCGGGGACAAAACCTTAAACACATGAGCAGAGAGACATCCACTGGTCCCTGGATTTCCTTTTGGGGCTTATTATTTCTGAAAGAGGGATACAGTATGCAATCACACATCTTCCCGGTGTGTGTATTAATTGGGTTCTCCCCATGTTCCGAAGTGGAACTCTCCATTTGCCGGCACAGCCTTCGGCATTCCCAGGAGACCTTCAGATTTCCCTTCCGCTTGCCTTTCTCTTCGGGCATCATTCATCATTTGGATCTTCGTGCTGCGTAGGGTGGGAGTGCTGTTGTCGGGAGATAGGGGAAGGGGTTGGGGGGATCTCATTAAAATTAAAAGGGTTTTAAAAATTAAAATCAAGCCTGAGATCATTTGCCTTGCAATGCACAGTAGAACCTCATTTGGGCGTCGATCAGCTGAGCTCCTTTAAATGCCACAGAGCGATGGCGCCCGTGGAAGGCTGATGGGCTGTCCTCGGGTGAGCGGCTGAAATCCTGAGGCAGGAGCAGGTGGCGGGTGAAGAAATATGGGACTAGAGAAGTAGGAACCCCTGGGCGTGGGGTAAAGGTGTGGGGATGGGTTTTGGGAAGAGCTTGGGGCATTGTCGAGGGAGGTGGGGCCAAGCAGAGAGGAGAGGAAAGCATGGGACAGGGTCACGGGCCCAAGGGGGCGCCGGCCCAGCCAGGAGTCCCAAAGGAGAGAGGCCGGAGATTTGTCCTGAAGCAAAATCAAAAGGTCAGTGGCTTCAGGCCAGCCCTTGCTTTCCAGAGGGCCAGGGCAGGCCCGCTGCGTTTTTGACTGCCGCTGCCTTTCCGCCAGTCAGCATCCTCACCCCTGTTTGGTGATGATGAAAAAGAATTGCCTGACAAAAACCGGGGATGCTCTTTATGGCCTGCTTCCCAATCTTTGGGAATGGGCAGGTCCTCAGTCTCTGGGTGCTGCCGATGATTTAATGGGTTCCAAATTCCACCACTCCCAATTCCAGGGAACAAAAAAGTTTTAGTCCCCTCCAATGGCAGGTACACCCCCAGGAGCCCGTGGAGGTGGCCTCTTAATTCAGTACTACCACCACCACCACCCCCAGCATCTTTAAGATGCCAGAAGCAACTGCCTGGTCACTGCTGGTTTCCCTGAAAAAGAGAGGAGGGGGAATTGCTTCGTGAATTACTGTGAGAGAGCTTTTTGGGGGAACAAGGAGGTGAGATTTGATGTTTCAGGCATTAAACCAAAATTCCTGGAGGGTTGGCGGGGTTCTCGGACCCCTGCCTACAGTCTGCTCAAGGGCCCCCTGTGCTAGATCTTTGGGGTTTGGGCCTGTTCAGCACGCCTGGGGTGATCAACATATTTATTAGTGGTTTATACTTGACACTGCTTTCTCTAGGCATTAGCCTCCCAGAGGACCTAACAGAATATTAGTGTTAAAAATCACAAAATATAACAGTATCTTGTGAAGGCAGCCAAAGGTGGAAAGTCTGGTGACCATCGTAAAATATATAGTGCCCATAAATCTCCCATCTTGGAAAGCAAAGACAAATAAAAAGGTCCAGAGCAGAGGTCACAGTTGGTTCTTGGAGCATCTCCATGGAGAAGCCGTTCTAGAATCAGGCCGCCCCATCTGGCAGAGGTCCCGTCTAGCTCGGAAAGAAAGGGGACTTGGAGGCTTGCCTCGGAGGGCAGGCTGGCGTACGGACCAAGGGCGGCCACCAGGTAACCCTTCTCTCTCTCAAATCTGAGGGTTCAGAGGGTGTGTTTCTTTGTTCACCCACGAGCCCCCCCCTGTCCTCACAGCGCAGCCCTCTTGCTTCCTCCTTTGGCAGCTCCTCCGGCCTCTTTTTCAGTCAGGTCTTCCTGGCTGATGGCTTTGCAAAGGGGTGGGGGGGACGGACTCTGTCTACTTGGGAGTCTCCACACATCGGCCATCCCAGGGCAGGCGGAGCAGCGGAGGGAGTGCCAAGAACAGCCCCCCCCCATCCCCATGCAGCTCTTAAGAGGCAGCTGCTTGCTTTGGGCAGCGAGGGAAGTGGAAGTGGGGGGGTATCATGGGTGTCTTGGGCACCTCGGGGAGCCTGAGAGGCTGCCGGGGGGGGGGTTGAAGCGTAGTTGGGCCAGGTGTCTGTGAGGCGAAGGGTGCATGTCCGAGGTTGAACACCTGCATCTCTTCAGATGTCGCCCCGAAGTGTATCCAAGCTGTGCTGTAGTGAATCAGGAAGAAAGAGAAAAGTTTGACTCGGGTCCCTGAAGCAAAGGGAGGTGGTTTCCTTGAGGGGAATTCGCCCAGAAACGGTCTCCCCACCCCCCCAGCTGCCGAGTGTGCAGGATAAATACTTGTGAATATGAATCTAGGTTGGCTGATGTGTTTCTCATCATTTACATACATTTGCATACACTTCTTGGTCACATATTTATTGCATCGATTTCCATGTAGAATATTTCCTTCTGAACGATAAATGATATCTAAGTTTAACGATGGAGCTACCCACCGCCAGTATTTCATCGTGGGTAATGATAACCAACCAGAAAGGTTGTGTAGTTCATTTAAGACGTGACGGATAATTGTGGCACGAACCTTCCTGAATTACAGTCCACTTCCAGGTCACAGATATGTTCACAAATCCCAGACTATAAGCCGTGGCTTGCATAGAGCTATATATTAATTGGCTTTCACAACAATCCTGAGCATAACCCAAAAATTGCTTTTGTTTTCTGGAAAAAAAATTGACTTCAAATCCTACAAACTTCTTAATAGTCGAATTTACTCCAGCAATACATCAGGGACAAAAGCTTAACACAGTCATCTATTTGGTTCGGATATTTAGCATTAGCTAAATACATAATTATGGCAGGATATTTATGCTAACCAACACTTGAAAGTTCATTATCACTAATAATGGCACTTATAATTGTCTCTCTCTCATTTCACTTGGATCTCATCCACACAATCACGTATATGTAAATTTGTGACCTGGATTTTCTGCTCCAGGTGTCTGAGAAAGTAAGTTGTAATCCACAAAAGTTCATGCTAGAATAAATCTCGTAGTCGTAAAGGGGCCACAAGACCTTGTTTCCTCTTTTGTTGCAGGAACTTTAGTGAGAAATGTACCTCACATGTAAGGTCAGCAGCGCTTATTACTTGTCACTTACTTTTTATGTATAAAAGTACATAGAAAATATCTTAGTAAAGGAGGTGCAAGGTGGGATATATATATATAGGGAGGCAGCCCTGCGTGAACAATGCTGGAAGAGAAAACTCACAATCTAAATTGCCAGAGCCAGACCCTAAAGGCTGAACTGGAAAGCTGGTTAGGAAAACCGCAGTCGGCAGCGTGACCCATGAATGTGCCACATCAAGCCGCTGTCCGAGAAGGGTCCACCGAGGGCAAGCTCAGATCCGTGACCTGGCAATCCAGGGACTGAACATAAGAGCCTTCTGGTTGGCAAACATAAGCCTTAATGCTTTTTTTAGCAGTGCAGTACAGTTTGCTTAAATAGCATCCCATAAAACCTTTAAAACAACAGTTACAGTAAGCACTATAAAATGAAAAGGGGTATCACTTCATTTCAGATCAGTCTGCAACAGCCACATCATTAAGGACATTTCACAACACCCACGGAGAGAGCCACGTAGGTGTCCCACGAGAGAAAGGGCCTCTCTTTTGCCCCACCTGATTCACTGGCCTCCCTGTGCGCTCATTTCTTCTCCTTTTTATTATTTGTGCCCCACATTTCTCTCCGAGGGGGACCTTGTTGAAGGAAGGGCATTTGACTGATTGATTGAACACAGTGTCTTTGTAAAGCGTTGCATGTGATTTCTGCTCCTCCTCTTCTTTGTGGTGTTACACTATCGGGTGACAGGATTAAGAGTAAATACCAAATCCCCTGGACTGGATATATGAAGTGTGGAGGAGAATGCCCGTTTTGGAGGCATTGTTTCAGCATGCTTGGGTGATCGGGGATTAGAGAATCTGTTCTCTTGCAATGAGATTTTGGACACGCTCTCCGGCGTCCTCCAATCCCCAGGACCCAGTGGCAAATCTGCTCCTTGGAAGATGCACACGTTGCAGAGATGGAGCCACATGGAGCTGCCAGCTCAGTGACGCAAGCCATCCTTCAAAGCAGTCAACGCCTGTCCTTACCTGAGTTTGTGAAAAAGCTGAGCCACCTGCAGAATGACATGTTGTTACACAAAACGAGGTGGCAGCAAGTTCCGCTTCCAACTTGGTTGTGACACAAAAATTCCCAAATATGCCTAGATTCCTTACGGCAC